TTGCTATTGCTATTGCTATTGCTTTTCCCAGCACCAATCCTTGGTGCTTCATTTAGAAACTGGGAATATTAGAATTTTATTTCTGAATCGGTGATAAAGTACAGGCTCAAAGAATAAGTGATAAGATCCTTGACTTACAACACCTACTGACCGTTTGAAATTACAACAATGAAAAAAGTGACTTGTGGCCATTTTCCACACTTATGACCATCTCCAAGATTACGTGATCAAAATTCAAGTGCTTGGCAACTCAAACGTATGACGGTTGCAGTATCCTGGGGTCATGTGACCCACCTTTGCGACCTTCTGACAAGCAAAGTCTATGGGGAAGTCAGTTTCACTTAACAACAGTGTTACTAATTTAATAAATGCATGATTCACATAATGACTGTGGCAAGAAAGGTTTCTAAATGGGGCAAAATTCACTTAAGTTTCTCGCTTAGCAACAGTAACGTTTGGCTCAATTGTAAAAAACGCGACCACCAAAACGGACAGGGCAAGTATATAAATAAGAGAGAAAACTTTCACTCCCTCCTAGCACTGATGATGTTACCCAGTTGGGTCATGAAAGGCCTGCAAGAAAACCACCAAGATCAGAGGGTATGAAGGACCCCACAGTCCTCCTCCTCTTCCTCCTCTGCTAGCACTGATGATGTTCCCTAGTTGGGTCCTGAAATGTCTGCAAGAAAACCACCAAGCTTAGAGAGCACCAAGGACCCCACAATCCTCCCCTCCCCGTCTCCCCTACCCTAGAGAGCACCAAGGACCCCACAATCCTCCCCTCCCCGTCTCCCCTACCCTGCTGATGTTCCCTTGTTGGGTCATAAAATATCTGTAATAAATCAAGTTCAGAAAGCACCATAGTCCTCCTCCTTCTCCCCCCTCCCCCTCCTCCTAGCACTGATGATGTTCCCTAGTTGGGTCATGAAACATTTGCAAGAAAAGCACCAAGTTCAGAGAGCACCCAGGATAAACCTATGGCATCTCCTCCCCACCATAGGTTCCGGTTTCCGGGTTAGATTTCAGAACCTCCCAACATTCCCTGGAAATGTCCTCTATTTCCTATTTCCTTGGAAATGTCGGAGTCTGTTTTTAAAGAGCCAGGAGCAATCAATTTTTCCCCCCCATTTTCCTGGAAGCCCCGTGCAATTACTTGGCTAGTTCCTCCAGGAAATATTGAAAAGAAGCTGTAATTGCTGCAACCTCTTTCACGGGGAACTGGGGAGAATATGGCCTCTCCGCTAACTAGCGGCCTCAAACTCAATCCCCATCCCCTCTTCCTCATTATTGCTATTATTATTAGGAAGAAAAATGTACTTCTTCTACCCACTGTTCCGCCGAGAATCTTGTAAAAAGGAGAGGCCCAAATTTGCTTCCAGCAGAATTCTGGATGGACCACATTTTGAAACCTATCAATGCTAAACCTCCCCAATTTTTACGCTATAGGGTTAAATCCACCAGTGCCTGGGAAAAAGAGGCAGACAGGCCTTCCCCCAAACACAGGGGACCCAGACGGGGTGTGTGTGTGTGTGTGTGTGTGTGTGTGTGTGC